CCTGGAAATGCCATTTGTGAGCATGGACACGGCTGATGCTTGACAACATGATTAGTTGAAAGCAACCCAGCCTTACTTTCTCTCAGGGAAAAGAAAGTCAAGCAGAGGAACAGGAGGCATGATAAAACAAATCAATATCTTAAGACCCCAGATCATTTCATGTATCCGAACAACATGCATATCTTTCATTTTGAGATGTTACACCATAGACTGAACAGAAACATGTTGAATGGGATTCAGGGAACCATGCGAACAGGACGTGTTGCTGTTTCGGGTTGAAGGAATGAACATGCACAGACTGTTTTAAATCATTCAACACACTACATCAGCATACCTACAAGAAAATGGACTTCACTATTCTTAAGAGGCTCTGCTGACTGAACAGTTTTGAATGGTGTGAACAGAATTGTGGTCTACAGCCTTTTTAGTGTTTTGTGTTGAAGGTTGTAACTATAAAGTAAGCAATAATGCATGAAAGGTTCAATAACACAGCCTTAATGTAAGCAAATGTGTGTTTATAGTCATTTTAGAACAGTAATTTTTATTTTAAAGGGAATTTACTACCACTCTGTGCAGAGCTGTCTTGTGCTAGTGACGTTCTGTAATACATTGATTTGAAGCAGTAATCTTTATAGCTTTGAGACGGCTCAGAAATATTTTATACTGCTGTAGAGTATATTGTAAATAATGTATATTTAGCAAAATTATGTTTTAGTATGGTTCAAGAAAATCTATTTACAGTCTTAAATTGTTGTGGGAATTAATCTGTTTTCCATTGATTCTTTAATAATATTTTTATAGTTTTTAAGGTTTCTCAATGCATGTGCAATTTGAAACAGGACATTCAGTGTCTGTAAAACATCAGATTTTCATAGTCTTCTTAATGCATGGCATACTTTACTGTGCTTAATAATGTATAATAGCTGTGTATATATATGCAACAAATTATATGTCTATGTTGAACTAAGAAATTAATTATTGGAATTAATTTCTTTATGCAGCTTAAAGCAGAACAAATGAATTAAACCAGCTACATTAGTTCACTCATAATAGTAAGTCGATACTTGGACCATTATGCTTTTTAGATTTAATAGGTTTTATTGTTTATAGATAATATTGTAAAAGTTGTAACCAATACAAATAAACCCACAGGAAGAGCTGCAGATCTATTTTTATCTTTTAATTTGTCCATGAACTTATTAGTGCTTTGTAATCCAAATGTTCATTACTTTAGGTTTGTCTATATACAATTATATGTGTGTCAGTGGACCTACATTAAGTTATTGCATCATATGATTCATTAAATATTATCTCTCTTTATGGCCTTAACACATTATACTCAAAACTTGTTCTTAAAACTTTTTAAGTCAAAAGCAGGTCACATGTCAGAAACTGTGAAGTCCTGTGTAGATGGAAAATTGTAGATAAGTTTCTTTCCAGGTCTCTTTTTACACAGTGGACTTGATTTCATCACTCTCGTTATATAACAAGGTGATAAGAATAGATTCTGGTGCGACTTTGTCACACATAACATATAGGCTACATTCATTTCTAGCGAGGAATCTGCACAGGGTCTTCACAAACAAGACTGCAAGGCAAAAGCAGAATCTTACAGACTGTGTCCAGTGTTCTGACAAATAATGCTACCTATCAGATTATGCTACCAACACTGTATTTATCCTACTGTAAGGGTAGGGTTGGGGTAGGTGTATGTTAATAAAGCCTCACACCTTATTAATATCACGCTGGAAGCAAAATCTGATAGGTAGCAGTTTTCTCTATCGATTTATGCTACCATCTGTTTTAATGGGAGGTAGCAAAATCTGACAGGGCAGCACAAATCGTCAGAATACCGGAATGCGGGTATGCTCAAATGTATAGATTGTGTACCTTCCTATAGCTTTATTAGTTATTATTTCACTTGATAGCGGCGTCAGGATTGCTGTAGAAGGGAATGGCACTCTCTAGTGGTAATACTAACACTAGATAGTAATGCAGATCTGAATGTGCAACAGTGAGAACTATAAAAGTGATTACTTAATTATGGTATGACATTTGTCCAGTGGCGTCCTGTTTAGCAGCCCCATATTCCTTGTTTTCTTAAACATACAAAATGGCCAACAGATTTTTTTTCTTTCTCAAATTGTAAACTTCGTCTTGGTAGCTTAAGCTTCTTTTACCAAGAAGTCAGCAGGCTCAGTGAAGAGCATACTTGAGATTAAATATCACGTGACGACAAAGAAGAAAAATCAAGGTAAATATCACAACGTATGATAATGTTTATACATTTCTTATATATACAATATATTGACATCATTATAATGTAATTTACTCTGTGATGGCAAAGCTGAACTTTCAGCAGCCATTATTCTAGTCTTCAGTGTCGATCCTTCAGAAATCATTTTAATGTACTGTAATATAATGATGGTTATTGATGTTAAAAACAGTTTCTTTTTCTTTTTTTATGATTTTTTTATGAATAGAAACGACAGCATTTATGTGAAATATAATTTTTTTGTCACATTATAAATGTCTTAACTGCGACTTTTGATCAATTTAATGCATCCTTGCTAAATAAATAAATTTTTAAAAAGATGCACCGAATTTTTGAACGGTGTATGACGGTTTTCACAAAATATTAAGCAGCAAAAACTGTTTTCAACGTTTATTAAAAAATAAATAAAATAATCTCAAATACGAATTCTACAGATTACAATGGTTTCTGAATGATCACGTGACGCTGAACAATGAAGTAATGGCTGCTTCATGGATTATGGGATTTTTACATGGATACATTTTCCGTGGTAGTGGAGGTGAATTACACTTGCATAATAGCGCCATCTAGTGGACTCAGTAGAGTAGTGAATATGTGCTAAAAAATATTTTTTTGGCTATTGCTACAAATATACCCCAGCGACTTAAGACTGGTTTTGTGGTCCAGGGTCACAAATATTTAGTTCTTTGTGATATCCGATGGTAGCTGATTTTACATGGTTTCTAGCTGAACCAGACTGGTCATTTATGGTCTTTAGCTGATGGCTGATGTAAGCATTTAGATGAATGATCAGCTGGACTGCCAACTGGTAGGGCTGAGATCAATTTGTTCGTGGTCAAGCTTGTTAGAGCTAGAAGAGGAACTTGGACCAACAGAGTAATGTACACAGGACAAGATATATTAAGACAATGTGATTTCTGCATTTTATGTTGAAGTTATATATGTATGTATTTATATATTTATTTATTTAGTGGCATTTTAGCACTGAGCTCTGGATAATTTCTGACCCTTGACTTGATTCTTTCTTTCTTTCTTTCTTTCTTTCTTTCTTTCTTTCTTTGTTCTAAGCTTCATATTAATCAACATATACATTAAATGTAATTAATTAGGGAATTATGTAATTTGTGTAAAAATAGTCAATGAAATGCCAGCAGGCTACACTTTTTTTTTAAAATGACACTTTATATTAATCCCAATATACACTACTGTTCCAAAGTTTGGTATGCATAAGAATTTTTTTTTTTAAGAAATATGATCAGCCAGGATGCATTTACTTGATCTTAAGTGACAGTAATGACATTTATGTTGTTTAAAAAAAGAAAGAGAGAAAGAAAGTAAAAATCCCTTTTTAAAACGTTATTCTATTCACCAAAGAATCCTAAAAATGTATCACTGTTTTGACAAAAAAAAAAGCCAGAACTGTTTTCAACATTGATAGTAATACATTTTTCTGGAGCAGCAAATCAGCAGATTAGAATGATTTCTGTAGGATCATGTGACATTGAAGACTGAAAATTCAGCTTAAATAAATTACATTTTAAAATACATTACATTATTCATAATACATTAAAATACATTATTTTAATATTATATAATATCTTCAGTACTATTTTATATATGCTTTATTTTATTTTATATATTTAATTTATATATTTATTTTTTTATTATTATTTATTTTATATATTGCTTTATTCAACATCAAGAGGCCCTTTCTTTCGGAACATGCTTCACAACTCCTTGTTCAAGCTCTTGTTCTGTCCAGGCTGGACTATTGCAAAGCTCTCTTGGTCTTCCAGCCAGCCAGTTCTATCAAGCCTTTACAATTAATCCAGAACGCGACAGCAAGATTATTAAGATAATAGTCCTTAGCCATCTTCAAGAATCGGCTAAAAACACATCTGTTCCACCTTTATTTGACGCTCTAACTATAGCACTCTCTATTCTAATTCTATTCTTAAAAAAAAAAAACTTGCCCCTTTTAGACTTGCACTCTATTCATTTACTAACTTCTTGTTTTCTTTAAAAAAAAAAAAAAACACTAGCTTGCTCTATTCTTTTTCTATTCTATCTGTTTTCTTTTTATTTATTATATAATAATAATAAAAAACTTGCTACGTGTACTGTGTTAAGCTAACTGAGACTAGTTATAGCACTTGCTTATTATTGCTCTCTTGTTGATTTTGATTGCTTCCATTGTCCTCATTTGTAAGTCGCTTTGGATAAAAGCATCTGCTAAATGACTAAATGTAAATATATATATATAGTAATAACATTTCACAGTATTACTGTTTTACTGTATTCTTGATCAAATAAATTCTGCCTCATTATACCAAAATATAAAAGAGAACTATTTCAGTAAATGAATAAAAATAATATAGGGAGTTTACTGTGTTGACCATTACAGTAACTAAGACACTATTTATAGTGATGGCAACAGTATGGGTGAGCTGCCCCTGCTTGTATTATATGCACATGTGATCATCCAACCACCTGTTGATTCCCTCCATATCAGACAGAAGGTCAAATCTGACTTTGGTAATATGAGCTACCATTTGTTTTATTCTAAATGAACAAGTCCTGTTGGTAGAATCAGTGAAACTGTAATTTAAATGTGTTTGAGGGCAATGGCATGATTTATCGGGGGAAGTTCTTCTGTGCGGGGAGTCATATGGCTCCCTTTATTTAGCACACTTGGATAAACGTGCTAGTCAAGTAAGGGCAGAGGAAGATCTCCCAAACACACTCCTGCCCATGCACATGTGGTAGACATGTGTTGTCATTTGTCTCCGCAGCTGTTGGGACAACACCTCATATCTAAACCCCCCGTGCCAGTGAGTGTTTGGGACATTTAGGGGACACAAGCAGCATTTTGTCAGCCGACGTATTTCAAACCAGTAGTTGTAATGGATTCTCGGCTGTCGAAACAGATCCAGTGTTCGGTGTGTTTGGGGGACTTCACAGATCCAGTGAGCCTGCTGTGTGACCACACGTTCTGCCGACAGTGTATCAGCAATCATTCCCAAAGCTGCCGCCTGAAACTGTGTCCGGAATGCAGACGGCCCTATACCATGTGGGACCTCCGGTCCAACCGAGTCCTGCGGAATATGGTGACTGCCGTGAGGGAACACTTGAGCGAGCAGCAGGCCCTCAGGGACATGGATGTAGCGGCTTGTGGAGCAGGCGCGAGAGTGTTTGAGGAACCAGAGAAGCTGGTGTGTTCAGATCATCAGGAGAGACTCAAGCTGTTTTGTGAGACGGATCAGAAACTGGTGTGTCTGATCTGTAGGGACGGTGAGAATCATCAGGGACACACGTTCAAACCTGTGGAGGAGGCAGCAGAGCCCCGAAAGGTCAGTGAGGACTGAAACGTCATAAACTGTAGATACCTTTATAAGCCTTATGTTTGAGTTTGACGCTGCTCAAATTTCAGGTCATATCCAGGTCAGAAATACGAAAGCCCAGAAGTTCAGTTGGTTTCTATTTTGAATGTATCTAATTCCACATACTGACTGAGGTTCTGTTTGGGGTCATTTTAATTTATCAATTTAATTTGTCATTTCTGCTCAACATTGAAGCATCACGTTACTTCTTCATGACTTTTAAAATCTTAAGGCTGGAACAGGCTACACAACTTTTTGCAGATGAATTTGCAGTCTGTATGAGTCGACAATAGTTGTTGAAAGTCAGAGCCACTGTACAGATTTGAGATGAATGATTTCACCGAAATGGGCAGACTCTGACTGCAATTCCGTCCGGTCAGAGGATATCATACATGATTGATATTTTTAGCTGATTTTAAACACATTTTGTTTTCATTTGTCAAGCATCTAACAACAAGGCACATGATTCTGCATGTTTCTATGTGAGTTTATGTTCGGACTTGAAAGTCTGATCGTGTTTGTTCCTCAGTCGATTAGTGTATGATGCCTAGGGTGACCATACGTGCCATTTTCCCGGGACGCATCCTGGCCAGGATTTCTATATTGCCTAAAATATCTAGGGTTTGGCTTTGTTTGCGTGTGCAGACCGATCGGTGTATGACATCGGTTCCTTGTGTTTTCGAAACGCTGTCGAGGTACTTTGAATCAAAGCAATATAGAAATCCTGGCCAGGACGCGTCCGGGGAAAATGGCACGTATGGTCACCCTAATGATGCCCAGTTTTTCATCTTAAATCCTTTACAAAGTTGACAAGTAGGATACCTAGGGGTTTTAAAATCTGTATAAATAGTGCTCAGTCGAAGTCTGACATGAAGTGTATTCCAGCCTTAATTAGAAGAACTGGTCATAAATTAAAGATTCTTCAAATATAACGTTACTTATGACATGTTACTTTGTTTATGTAAAACTTTAAATAATGCAATGAATTTTCGCTTACGATATACGTTCCTGCCAGTTGTCTATCTTAATTGCCATTTTTATGTAAATAAATTTGACTAAAGATATTGACTAAATTATTGGGTCTCTAGGATTGTCTCTAGGAAGTCCTCCTCAACGGAACCTGAGGAACAAACATAAATAAAAAACAGAAAGTAAAGGAATCATTCACCCAAAAATGAAAATTTGCTGAAAATGTACTCACCCTCAAGTTGTTCCAAACCTGTATGAGTTTCTTTCCTCTGCTGAACATAAAAGAAGATATTTTCAAGAATGTTGCAACCAAACAGTTGCTGGCCCCCTTTGACTTCCATAGTTTAAAAAAAATGCAATAATAAAAAAAAAAAATACAACCAAAACTGCTGGTTTTGTTACCAGCATTCTTCATAACAGAAGAAAGAAACTCAGGTTTGGAACAACTTGAGGATGAGTAAATGATGACAGAATTTTCAGTTTTGGGTGAACTATCCCTTTAATCACTATGTATGTTGAAATATTATTGCCCAACATATTGTAGATGAATAATAAGACATATCAAAATGCATAATTGTACATTTAATACTTAAAGTCAGAAGTGCTCTATCCTGCTCCTCTGCAGGAAGCTGTAGATCTCTAGGAGCAGAACTGAGCAGCGCTGCTTTAAGCTAATGCATGCAATATTCATGTCAGATGCCCACAAGTCTGTTTTGTGTGTTGTAGAATTTATTGTTAGAGCCTCTGAGCTTCCTGTTGAAGGAGAATGAAGAGCTGCAGGCTCTTATCAAGAAACAGACGAATGAGATCTCTAAAACTGAGGTGAAAAATACACTTCACACAAAAGAGGAAAACAGATCACACAATCCATCTAAAGACTCCATAAAGGACTATCACAGGGTTCATCACTATCTGTGATATGTTTTGTTTCTCAGGAAAGGTCTCGGCAGCTCTCTGCTCAGATCTCTGCTCAGTTTGAGGAGATGCACCAGTTTCTGAGGAAAAAGGAGGAAGAAGTGAAGAAAATGCTGGAGAAAGAAGAGAAGGATATGATAGAAAAGATGAAACGAAACAGAGCAGAAACAGAAGAGAAGCTGAATGATGGAAGAGAGAAGGAAGGGATTCTACGCTCAGTCTTTGAGACTGATCAGCCAGATGGGTTTCTGCAGGTTCAAACGAACATTTGCATTCAGCACAGTTTGTCCAATTAACTGAGTCCATCATATAGATATAATTGCAGTAGGCTACAATGAGGTCAAATCCCCCAAAAGGAAAAATGTGTTTTTCCCTGATATCAAAATATTTTTATTTTTAAAATTTGTAAAAACTGTTATTTAAAAAATAAATAAATACAAAATATGAAATTGATGAAGAAACATAATTAAATTAATTATACTTCTTTCTAAGAAATGGTGAAATGTTAACATGGGGACTTTTTACCCTGAATATAGTCCTTTCACTAGAATAAGAATCTTTAATTACCATGAACAAAACAAGACATTTGTTTCCAAAAAATGAAATGGATGCATATTAGTAACATATATCTGCAAAATTTAAATAGCGTTATAAAACTGTATTATTATTATTTTTCAAAAAAATAGTAAATTAATCAAAAAAAATATATATATATTTTAAAATTACTATATATTTAATCCCCAGCATATGGAACATTTAAAATATGGAATATTGGATATTAAAAAAGATATTATGTATTCAATCCAATTCAATCTTTAGTCATTGCATGCAGTAACCTCAACACAGTAAGAAAAAAAAATTATCTTTAGGGGTACAACAACTTGCCACTGCAAGTACCCTTAAAGGGGCACCTTTGTACCTTAATTTGTACTCTTAAAGGTGTATATTAGTATCTTCAAAGAATATTTACTACTATGAACATTGAATATTGAGAGTGAAAAGGCAGTTTTAAGAATGTGATTTTTGGGAGTAGGAAAAAAAAGTGCATAATTGTTGCATATAAATCTAACACTAGTTTATTCATAGCTGCTGTTCTCTAAATGATAACTATTTTCTTTGTCTGGTTCTACTTCTCCTATAGTGGTGGACTGAGAAAGGGCTGGAATTTGTCGAAGAGATGAAAGTGAAAGAAAGCTGCTGTGAAAATAATGACATTGCTTCTCAAACAACCAAGTAGTACAATATACTGCAATGCTTCAGATAACCATTACCAGTGCTGTAAATATCTCATCAGTTACATTCATCTCTTGCATTTTAGGTTCAAATCAGCAGTGAAAAGCGTGAATTTGACACCTAATTCTCTGTTCCTTGGCCTTCATGAGACTCACTTGCAGTTTATTGTATGGAAGGAGATGCTGGGCTTTATTAAACAAGGTGAGGACATCAGATATACAAATGTGGACAATATGTAAAAGTGTATAAATGTTTATTAGGCAAATAAACATTTTGCAAATTCACAGTATTGGTATTTGTACACTACTGGTTTCTTATGCTCACCAAGACTGCATTATTTGATTGTAAATACAGTAAAAACATATTTTTGACATTTTCTATTTGAATATGTTTTAAAATGTAATTTATTCCTGTGATGTCATGACTCCATTCTTCAGTGCCACATGATCCTTCAGAAATCATTCTAATATGCTGATTTGGTGCTCAGTTATTAATAATGTTTTTATTATCATCAGTTTTAGTTGCTTAATATTTTTGTGTAAAATGTGATACATGCCAACCAAGGAAACGTGAAAAAGATTAACCCAATCACTTTGTTTTGGTAAGCCTTTTTCTGCAAGCATCTGAGAAAACCAGCAAGTCTGATTTCGCTCCCTTGGTGATGTGGCAAAGGGATCTCATTATAATATTACCGCCCCTTAATCTGTAAGTTTACACCCACGGCGCCGTTATTGTGTTTTTGCAAGCGACAACGGTGTACCAGCTCTAATGCCACGGCGAAAGTTTGAGCAAAACATGCTAACTGTTCTGTCTTTGGCTGCACAGACGAGCACAGAACACTATTTACAGTACCAAGCCTCAGAGGAGACAACAGAGCAGATGATTTATTGATTTCTTTACTGTATATTGCTGCTGTTTTGTACACTACTGGTTTCTTATGCTCACCAAGACTGCATTATTTGATTGTAAATACAGTAAAAACATATTTTTGACATTTTCTATTTGAATATGTTTTAAAATGTAATTTATTCCTGTGATGTCATGACTCCATTCTTCAGTGCCACATGATCCTTCAGAAATCATTCTAATATGCTGATTTGGTGCTCAGTTATTAATAATGTTTTTATTATCATCAGTTTTAGTTGCTTAATATTTTTGTGTAAAATGTGATACATGTTTTCAGAATTATTGTAGGTGCTCAGTTATTAATAATGTTTTTTTTTTTATCAATGTTAAAAACAGTTTTGCTGTTTAATATTTTTTGTGGGATCTGAGATACATGTTTTCTGGATTCTTTAATGTATAGAAAGTTGAACATCATTTATTTGAAATAGAAATCTTTGTAACATTAGAAATGTCTTCATTGTCACTTTTGATAAATGTAATGCATCTTTGCTGAATAAAAGTATTAATTTCCTTTTTTTATATGTATTACAGTTCCCACATTATGTTATGCAGCACAACTAGTTTCAACACTGATTTTAAAAAAAAATTTTCTTGAGCACCAAATCAGCATATTAGAATGATTTCTGAAGGATCATGTGACACTGAAGACTGGAGTAATGACTGCTGAAAATTCAGCTTTACCATCACAGGAATACATTTCTAGAAATTAGGAATATACTATATTAAAGGTGACACTGCATTTAAAGAGACAGGGCCGAAAAACAGCGTGTTTCTGCTTCCACTCAAAATAGGCATTTTCAAAATGATATAATAAATGATCTGTGGAGTATTTTGAGCTGAAACTTCACAGACACATTCTGGGGACACCAGATACTTATATTACATATTGTAAAAAGGGGCATAATGTGTCTCCTTTAATATTAATATTACATTAGAAAACAGTTATTTTAAATTTTAATAATATTACACAATATGAAAGTTTTCACTATATTTTTGATCAAATAAATGCAACATTGGAGAAACTTCTTTCTAAAACATTTCAGAAATAATAATTATTTCCTTTTTTATTAACTTTTGACTAGCAGTGTATGATAAACTAAGCTGCGTTTGTCTTTCTCCGTTTGTCTTAGTCCCGGATCGTAATGTCATTCATGACTGTCATGATCCATACCTGAGGGTCTCCTCTGAGGGACGCAGCGTCATCCGCACATCCAAAAAGGGGATTTTCTTACGCCACAAAGACTACAGGCCTCTGGCCCGGACCCACAAGACCTTCCAGTCAGGACAGCACTACTGGGAGGTGGATGTAGGAGCAAAGATAGACTGGAGTGTGGGCTTCGGTGGTGGGTGTATAAGCAACTTAAACAAGGACATTGGGCTCCACCTTAAGCATGAGCAAGGCTACTGCATCAAAGAGTATGAGACAGTGACAGAGATAGATCTGACAGTGAAACCACGCAGGATAGGGCTGTACCTGGACTGCGACAGGTGTCAGGTGTGCTTCTATAATGCGGATGACATGACTCTGCTGCACACCTCCACATACCCTTCGTCCATCCCTTACTCCCTCAGCCTCTCTCCAGGAGCTTATCTGGCAGGGAAGAATGCTGATCCGCTCACAGTCACCTGGAACTGATCCGTCTGGGAAATAATTGGACACTTTAGTAAGATGGTTGTAAGAACTGGTCCATTTATGGTTTTTGAGGTGATATAATAGTGCTTGAGAGAAAAATTATTGGCTGGTGTATTTGCTTGCTCAGTTTGTTAGTGGGTGGTGTGCTTTATTTTTAAAAAAGTATTTGTGACAGGCACTTTAAGCACTAAATTCTGAGAACACAAAAGATCACAAGATTTTTTTTTGTTGTCCTTTTAGAGCCATTTCTAAAACATTAGAAAAAAATAATTCTTTGGTGAGCCATAATTATAAAATAATGCCAAAATTTTTTGCTACTAAGTCATAATTATATATTATAACATAGAAAGTCAAATTGATGACAAAATTATGTCAAAATGATGATATACAAAGCCATAATTATGAGTAAAAGTCATAATTTTAATGTAATAATTATGACTTTTTTATCTCATAATTTCAACTTTGTGTTCTAATTTCACCTGTCATAATTATGACGTATTTATGTCATAACTATGACTGTTTGTCATAATCATGTTATGTCAAATGACTGTAACTGTCATAATTGTGTTATGTCATAAAGACTAACAATATCATAATGATTGTATCATGTCATAATGACTGTAACAATGTCATAATGACTTTGTCATAAATATGACTTTTTTGTCATAATTATGTTATGTCATAAAAACTGTAACTATGTCATAATGATTGTTTGTCATAACTATGACTCCGAGTTTTCAAATTTTGTCAATTTTTATAATATAAATAATCTTGACTTTGTATGATTGTCATAATTTTTGTTTTAGAAAGTCAAATTGATGACAAAATTATGTCAAAATGATGATATACAAAGCCATAATTATGAGTAAAAGTCATAATTTTAATGTAATAATTATGACTTTTTTATCTCATAATTTCAACTTTTTGTTCTAATTTCACCTGTCATAATTATGACGTATTTATGTAATAACTATGACTGTTTGTCATAATCATGTTATGTCAAATGACTGTAACTGTCATAATTGTGTTATGTCATAAAGACTAACAATATCATAATGATTGTATCATGTCATAATGACTGTAACAATGTCATAATGACTTTGTCATAAATATGACTTTTTTGTCATAATTATGTTATGTCATAAAAACTGTAACTATGTCATAATGACTGGTTGTCATAACTATGACTCCGAGTTTTCAAATTTTGTCAATTTTTATAATATAAATAATCTTGTCTTTGTATGATTGTCATAATTTTTGTTTTTTTGTCTCATAATGACCTTTTATGAGACTTTTTTTTTTCTCATGTGGTGGAAACCAGCCTACATTGGAAATAGTCTAGATGCAGCAACCATGATTATAAAGTCACCTTTATTCTTTCAACATTATATAGTAAAAATAATTATTACAGAAAATATTAGTTCATACATATATGTTATGGACTATTGTTTTTTTTTGTGATATTTGAAATGATGTAAAATATTAGACTATAATTTTCTGTAATAATTTTACAAATGTTTCTGTATGTGCCACAAGAGGGCAGTGTTATAAATTGGTATTGAGAAATATTTAAAGTGTCATTTTAATTGGGAAAAATTTACATTGAGAACACATGGATTGGCTCTAGAAATCACGATGTGGGATCAAAATATCTTAATAATGGAAATTAGATCTGTCTCTATTAATTACAAACTTGCATAAGGTGGGTTTGATATTATATCCCAAAGTGTGTGTAAGAAGTGAATGCACTTAAGGCATGTGCAAATGCATCACTGTATGTGTAGTTTAGGAATATTATCCGGACAGCTATATGGTCTTGAGGATTGGTAGTGACTAATTTTAGCTTTTAATTTGTTTATATATATATATATATATATATACATACAAGTTGTTTGTTCTGTTGGTGACATTAAACAGATCACTTCAGCCTTATCTCTGCAGAAGTTGTCTCTTTGGAGCTTCTGTTCATCTAGTGACATCTTAATGTGATCTGTGGTATTGCAGCTGACATGTATAAACACTGTATATTTGTGGCCACCACAACATACCTTTTCAGCACCACACACTCTACTTGCTTCTTTTAATATTTTATTGGGTATATTTACAAACACCAACATGCATAGAGCTGATTCACAGGGAATTACAGAACTCAAGAGTTGGTACAGTACATAATATGCTTTAAGTGTGCTACCAGCGATGGGCAATACCACAGAGCTACGCAACTCATTACCACACAAGAGATAGATAGAGAGATAGACAAAAGGAACAGATAAAAAGCAGATCAATATTATGGTATATTAACCACAAACAATAAGTACACTATTTTTATAATGCAACATAGCTGTTTCTTTCTCCAGAACATACTAGTGTATTTCAAATGTCACAATTATTAATGCACAGTCATACTGAAAATGACAACTACAAGAACAGAACTAATAATAATGATAATAATAAATAAAATGTAAAAAAAAGTCATGCATCATTGCAGTTTGCCCTGTGAGGTAAAGACTATGACACTAAATATGATTTATTTGTTTTTTTACCGAACCCCTGCTGCTTGCTTCTCAAACCATAAGATTTTATTATATTTTCTTCATTTTTTTAAAACAGAGACATTAAAGCTCAAGCCAATTACAAAGCTGACTTCTCAAGCAGTTATATCTCAGATTGTGTTTTCTCCTAAACTATATTCTAAAAACTATACCAGCTGTCCCTTGACATACTCATACATACATAAATCCTATACATAAATTTTCAGTTGTAAGATTCATACTTATATATATATATGTATCAGTGTGAACTGGTTACTGCTACTGTAGCCCACTGATGTTTTGCTATTGGTTGGAATAATCCAGAAGGCATATCATTACGTGGTGTGATGGGCAAAGCTGTGCTCCATGCGGACTGGCACACTAACGTCACAAGAGTAATCTTTCATTTGTCTGAATATATTTTTGATTAGCAGTGCCAAGTCAGAGGCTTGACAAAAATTCATACTACACACGAGCATTCAACTGTGAGAAACACAAGAGGGCCAATTAATGAACAAGAATAAGCAAGCTCTATTTCAAACCACCTTTCCCACTACAGCCACTAAAATCCTGGCCCATTCCTTCAGCATGAAGCGTTTGTAGTTTGAGCGAATATATCCGTGCTCACAAAGAAGTTGTATTGATGATTACCTGACATTTGCTACACACATTCATACACATTCATGCAGGTTTAGTATGTAAACCCCTGATTCAAAGCTTTATTCGGATGCAGAATATCCATTCAACGAAAATCATGAATGCTATCAATCATATACGGTTTCCCCAGCAACAAGCCTCATAAACAGTACAGTACAGAGTATGTAGTCACTATCAAGCTCAAGGTGATACAGATCTTACCACAGTAGCCATCACACTGTAAGAAATAGAAAAGAATCATCTACACACTACCACTCTAATATATTTGACTGTTACCATTGACAGTTACAATAATAACAAGAAGAAGAAGAAGAATGTCGGTCTTCAAACAAAATGTTTTTTTGGGAAGTGAGATAATAAAAGGGTGTATATATAAGGACATTTTCAGGCAATACCAAGAGTTCATCTATTAATTGTTGGTGTACAATTTAGTACAACAAAGTATTAATATTATGAGGAATAAATTATTTTGAATTGTCAAGCAGCTCGTTTTTAGACTGATTAGCCAGTAATTCCTTATTAAATAGCTCAATAATAATAAAACAAAATACCAAAAACATTAATTGTATAATAAATTAAAGAGTTAACTGGAGTAAATATGTCATTTATTCACTAATGCAGCCCCAAAATAACCAAAACTCATGCCTTTCCAATCATGAAGTCATCCTTGACTTTACAACACATGGCTGGGCTGATGATATGATAAGAAATTCAAGGGGTTTTACACACAGTTGCGGATGAAATTAAGTCGCATATGCATATTGGTTGTTTAGTAGACTTAAAATGATAATGAAATGCTGTTTTACATTTTACAATGAGCTTTTTAAGTAAGATTACGGGCGAGCTGTTTGTTATGGCAACACCTAATAATGTTAAACTCGATTCTTATTCATTACCCATTTCGATTTCTTGTTTATCTGTCTATCTATCTTTGTAAAATCGAAATATATATATTTATGATTTATACAGTAATTTTGTTTCCAATATAATCACAGAAAATATTCCAGACATCACAAACCAGGCAACGAGGGTCAGAGATAAACAGATAAACACATAACACAGCTACTAATAACTACATCTATATATGGTCTTTTTCCTTATACATTATACACCCCTGATATTCTTTCACACAAACATACAGGCAGAATTAAAGATAAGTCACATGATAAGTGAAGCATAACCAATGGGAACAAGGCCTTCCTTGTGACCTTGACGACATCGAATCCAATCGTGGTCCATGCCTCCCAACAGAACAAGCTCCGCCCCCTTACTGAAGCTCAGCTCTGCTCCAGTGCCTGTGTGGTCACACAGAGTTCTGACCATCCTGATGAATCAGAACACAAGACTCAGCACACTGCTGACAGTAAAAGCTTCAGACACTCTTTTCAGAGACTGCTTTATGGGTCAACATATTAAACTGTCAAGATGAATGTAATAGTGGTAAAAGTTAATAGCATATTTTGCTCACATATTGTATACTTGTGAGTGCACACATAATTATAAACACGTAAATAATAATAATTAATAATTACTTAAAAATAATTTAAATATTACAAGTAAAAAGTTTTTTTTTGTAATATCATGATTATTAATGTATAAATATTATTACATTTTTGGCACCACATTTTACAATGTTAACTAACCTTGGCTTGTCATAAAAAGTTTAATATTTTAAGAGACTTATTGACCTTGACACACAGCAGGGTCCAGTCTATGATATTATTTCTTTTTTTTTCTTTTTTTGCATTTTTCGCGATGCTTGTTGGCTTGCATGACTTTGATTAAGTTTACAAAACTACTTTCAAATATTATAAGCCGTAAAATGGTTTTGCTAAAATATTTTTTTCTACGAAATAATAAAGATCGCCAAACTTATAAATAAGATTTTCTTTTCAATAATATAATTCTTTTAATGAGGCTTTTTTACTTCAATTTGACATAAGGACAGCTGCTTTAGCCTGACATTTTCTACTTTATACCCTAATGAATATTTATGGATTTTATTTCTGAAATTTGTGTTTTGCAAATAAATAAATAAATACATAAATAAACAAATAAATTTAAATAAA